GATAAGAGAAAATGGAGTGTTTAAGGAAAGATGAACCTGTTCTATCATAACATATCCAACATTAGTCCAAAAGCCTTCACTGCATTCCAAAAAAGCCCTATGTGATTTCAAGACGAGTGAGCTTACATTAGTGGTGATCTACATGAGGGGCAAGCATATGGTACATATAGTCGTACTTGTGACATTCTTTTGAGAGAGACGAGAGAACCTTTCACAAATCTTTGAATTTCTTGCTACATTCTTAATTGAGATATGCTAACGGAGAGTAGAGGAGGAGTAGTTTGGGATCCACAATGACCGACATGAAAGAGCGAGCTTCCTTGATAAATAAAGTTAACTCTTGATGCTCAATTGTCACATTAGAACTATTTGTGCTTAAAAGTTCAACTCGTTGCCTTGTTGATAATTCATAAGTGTTGTGGGTAATTGTTGGTCCCAATTGATGTGTGATTGATACATCTTTGATTAGCTAAAATAGCTCTTAACTTGTGGAGGTGAGAATTACCTTATTTGACTGAGGACAAGCAAAAGCTTAATTTTGGGGGAGTTGATAAATTTGAAAAATGATCCCCCGAGATGAAATCCAACTCAAGAAGGAGTGGTATGAAATCAAGGACAAAAACAGGCACAGAAGCTCAGAATTGCGGACCGCAGATTGTGAAGAAACTCATATAAGAGACCTGTGCAAAATGCGGTCTGCACATGACATGTGCGGCCACAGAAACTGGGCAAGAGCAAAAGTTCATAGAACCTGCCTCTGAAGTTCTACAGAAGTGTGGACCGCACAATTATTGTGCGGCAGCAGACGATCAGTTTCACGGCTGCAGTTATATTTGTGCGGTCCGCATAAGAGCAACGTGCGGCCACACTCAGAAATATGGCAGGCCGCAGAAAGAGAGATGTGTGACCGCAGTTCATAATTATGCGGCCGCGTTTCCAATCCTGTTAGGCTGAAGCAAAGTGCGGACCGCACATGCAATTGTGCGGCCGCAGAACCTCTAAAAGGGCATTTTTGTTCGAAAATTCCAGCCCTGTATAAATAGAAGAGTTTTACTTTTTTAGGTCAAGTTTTGACATCAGCAGCTACACTAGACGGTTTTCTTTACCCTTTTTAGTAGTTTTTGTTATTTTGAGCTTTTTGAATATTGATTTCATCCTTTTAATTTATAAATATGGGTTTAATTATCATTTCTTCTTCTATTTCTTCTATCTTAAGCATGAGTAGATAGATTTTCACCCTAGAGTGTAATCTTAATGGGTGTTTGATTTATTGCTTGTTTATGGTTGGGTGTTTATTGTTTGGCCTTATTCTTGCTTTTAATTGTAGAACTAATTGTTGCAAATATTAGTTCATGACTATTTGATTTGGTCTCTACTTGAGAAAGAGAGACTTAGTCTAGGAAAACTAATAAGAAATTGGGTAAATCAAGAGATTGATAGTCCCGATTAAATGGTTGGACCTAGAGATAGTAAGATCCGATTTGAGTTTTGTATCATCCACTTTGTTCAATACACATTTGGACATGAGAAAGCAAAATTGGGCAAAATTACTTTCTGACCAAGAGGTGTTGAGTGGGGTACTCAAGTGTTGATAGCTATAATACACCCCGACCAATAAAACAAGCTTTAAAATCTACAATTCCGTTAGGCAAACACCTAGGTAAAGGTCATATCCCTAGGCTTTTTATATCATTTGAAAAACAACAGCAAAAAACAATTTCTTAGTTTCATTTCTTAATCTTGTAATCTTATATTAGAATAGACATAGAACAAACACCAATTTGTGAAAGTGTAACTTGAGATAGTTCATACTCATACATTGCAATCTATACTCCTACATCCCACGTATAGCTCCTTGTGGAATTCGACCCCGACTCCTTATTGGGTATTACTATTACAATCGACTATTTCATAACCTTGAATTGAGGTGTGATCTTGAGCGAGATCACCTACCACATCATAATATACTATAATTTCTATCTATTTTGCTATAAACAAAGTGAAAAATCTTACTAATAGAAGAGTTAGAAGTAGTTCTGAGTAATAGTCGTTAGCTTGACTCAACTGGGCATCCTCAACTAATTTTGATGCTCGAGGATTGCTGAGCAAATTCTCCAATAAGATATGATTTAGCCTGTGCCCATTCACTTTGAAACTTTCTATTTCGTCCTGGTTTTGAATCTCAATTGCTCCATATGGTGATACATGTTTTACCACATACAGTCTCGTCCATCTAGACTTTACTTTTCTGGGGAACAATCTGAGTCTACTATTGTATAGTAAGACTTTGTCCCCTTCATGAAACTCCTTTCGCTTAATTAGGCGATCATGCCACATTTTAGTCTTTTCCTTGAAAATCTGTGCATTTTCATACGCGTCCAGTCTAAACTCCTCCAATGCATTCATCTGCGCCAACCTGTGTTCATCGGCAAGACTAAGATCAAGATTAAGCATCTTAATTGCCCAATATGCTTTATATTCTATCTCAACAGGTAAGTGACACGATTTTCCATCACTAGTTTGAACGGTGAACACCTTATGGTTATTTTGAATGCAGTCCTTTACGCCCATAGAGCTTCCTCCAAATTTATAAACCAATCTTTACGATAAGCACTAACCATCTTTTCAAGAATTCTTTTAAGTTCATGTTTAGCCACTTCAACTTGCCCACTAGTTTGGGCATGGTACGGGGTTCTTGTATTGTGTGTGACCCAATACTTGGACAAAGCTGCACTATTCAAAAAGTGTGACCCATTGTCACTGATAATCACGTGAGGCATCCCAAAGAGGGTAAGGATGTTCTTCCATAAGAACTCATACACCACCTGAGCATCATTAATCCTAGTAAGGATTGCTTCGACCCACTTAGAGATATAGTCAATGGCTACTAGGAAATACTCATAAGAATGTGATGATTGGAATGAAGTCAATGCCCCAAATGTCAAAAATTTCACATACCAGAATGGAGTTGAGAGGCATTTTTTCCCTCTTACTAATATTACCTCCCATTGACACTTGTCACATGTAGCTATAAAAGCTCGTGCATCATTGTACAAAGTAGGATAAAAGAAACCAGCTTCCATGACCTTTGTTGCAGTACGATTTCCACCATAGTGTCCTCCAACTGCTCCATCATGGCAGTGAGACAAAATGTTTGCCATCTCTCCATCAGGCACACATCTTCGAATCAACCATCTGCACACAACTTAAACAATAAAAGGGTCATTCCAAGAATAACATTTTACCTCACTTTGCAACTTCTTTTTCTGATCGGAGGTCAAGTCGTGTGGCAACCACTCACTAGCCAAGAAGTTGGCTATGTCGGTGAACTATGGTGGTCTATCAAATATTAATGCAATGGAAAAAATCTACTCATCTGGGAACTCTTTCCGAATGTCCACTGCTTCAACATGTGGTTTCTCCAATCGCAACAGGTGGTCAGCCACTTGATTTTCTGTGCCTTTCCTATCCTTGATTTCTAGATCAAATTCTTGCAGCAATAAGACACACCGCATCAAACGCGATTTGGACTCTCTCTTACTCAGCAAATATTTCAGTGCTGAGTGATCAGTATGCACTATTACCTTGCTTCCCACTAAATAAGATATGAACTTGTCAAAAGGAAAGACTACTGCAAAGAACTCCTTCTTCGTGGTAGCGTAGTTCACCTAAGAATCATTCAAGGTCCGGCTTGCATAGTAAATGGGTTAGAACAGTTTATCTCTCCTCTGCCCCAGCACTGCTCCTACTGCCACATCACTGGCATCGCACATTATCTCAAAAAGCTCACTCCGGTTAGGAGACACCATTATGGGGGTACTCACTAGCTTTTACTTGATCAATTAGAATGGTCTGAGACACTCCACATCGAATACAAATTTCACATCTTTGGAAAGTAATGCAGTTACGAGCTTGGTGATGCTGGAATTTTTTTTAATGAACCTTCTATAGAAACTGGCATGCCCCAAAAACCTTCTGATGCTCTTCACTGAGGTTGGTAGTGGGAGCTTGGCTATCACATCTACTTTAGCTTTATCAACTTCAATACCTTCAGCTGTGACTTTATGGCCCATGACTATCCCTTCCCCTCGCCCCCCCCCCCCC